ACCAGGTTCTGGTCTCCTGCTGGGGTCCAGAGTCAGAACTAAACCAGCTGAAGCTTCATTTCAGCTCCATGCTCCTAAAACCTGGATCAGTCTTCCTGAAGACGTGAGACAGAACCCAACTCTGAATGTTTAAATCAAGATGTTTAACTGTTAAACTGGATGGATTTTATCTGCAACATTCACTTTTTATCTGTCTAAATTTTATTCTTTTTCTTGTTTTTCTGCTTTTAAATTCTGTGTGAAACACTTTGAATGGTCTTGTACACGAAATGTGCTGTCAAATAAACTGGCCTTGGCCATATAGTGATGGAAGCTGTCTTTTACTCTGTTGCCATGGTGATTGTTACCTATCAGGTACTGTTTATTCCACATGGAAATAAATCAACCCTACTAATCCTCAGAGTTTCACACATTAGCCCTTTGGAAAACCCAGTTTCTCCCTGAAATCATTCCATATGAACAGAGTTTAGTCTTTTCTCATTTCCTAGCAGCCCTGAAATCATTCCATATGAACAGAGTTTGGTCTTACGGCGTCCGTTCCCAGAGGCGGCAGCGTGTCGAAGTCGTCCAGGGAGGCCTGGGCGGCCTGGACCGCCTGCATGCTGGAGTTGATGGTTCCGGTCAGGGCTTGCTGTGCGGAGGTCTGTGGACACACCAGAGAGACTCGATTCATCAGCACTAAAGCCCAAGAACACTGTGAGATGTTTCCAGTAGCTCCAGCTCAAACTGCACCACATCCCAGGGGTCAAAGGTCACAGCTCACCATTTCTGTTCTCTCTATACGACCCGATATGAGATCTGACCTCACGTCAAACAACAGGGAGGGAACACGAGGGTCACCAGAGCTAAAAGCTGCTTTGGGAATTTGCACAATTGTGTGTAACTGGTAAATTAAGTTTTTATATCAAATACATGCAAAATAAACAGGGAATCAGCACTTTTTTTTCTTTTTTTTTTTTAACGTTTTCATTTGGGTAGGCTTTGGACCAGTTTAGCTCCCTTTTGGACTGGTTTGTGTTAGTTTTGGGTTGGTTTGGGTCCGTTTTTGGCCAGTTTGGGTCCGTTTGGGGTCCCTCTTTTGGGCTGTATTGAGTTAGTTTGGGTCAGTTTTGGGTCCGTTTTGGGTTAGTTCGGGTCAGTTTTGGGTCCGTTTTGGGTTAGTTTGGGTCTGTTTTGGACCAGTTTAAATCAGTTTTGGACTGGTTTGGGTCCCTTTTGGGCTGTATTGGGTTAGTTTGGGTTGTGCGCTCAGCTCCGTGGGGCAGGACGGGTTGGCAAATTAAGTTTGTATATCAAATACATGCAAAATAAACAGGGAATCAACAAAAAACTGAAAAAAGTTTTCGCTTGAAATTCATCGTCCCGCCATGTTATCTTTTGTCCTATTTTGGACTGATTTGGGTCAGTTTGGGTAGGCTTTGGACCGATTCATCCCCTGTTTGGACTGGTTTGTGTTAGTTTTGGGCTGAATTGGGTCAGTTCTGGTCAGTTTTGGACCAGTTTAGGTCAGTTTTGGTCCAGTTTAGGTCCGTTTTGGGTTAGTTCGGGTCAGTTTTGGACAGGATTCCCTCACCAGGACCGACCAGAAACTCAGACCGGTTTGGTTTTCCTCCACCAGACGGTGTGGATCTGGAGGTGGTGACAGGTTAATGGCTGCTCCTCACTCTGTGTGGACGACACCATGTGAGACACCAGGAGCTGAAACTCGGCCCAATCCGAGTTAAAAATCGTGTCAAAAAGGGGCAGAAATCGCTCAGTATATGGCCGGCTTTACTCCGGTATAATTCTGTGTCTCTCCTGAGGCTCCTGGCATCGAGTTCTTTAGTTGGAGATGAAGATTTGGATCCTACACTGATTTTTTTTTATTGGATTAATGCTTTGTGAGATGTGTCTTGGTTTTACCAGTGGGGGCATGTGTCCTCTGTGCATCTGCCCGCTGGTGATGTGCTGCTTGGCCTGAGGCATGGAGCCCATCTGGAAGCTCTCCGGCCCCCCCGCTCCGGAGCGCATGATGGCTGGAAGGGCGACTGAGCCCGTCTCCACTCGGCCCACCTTGTTAAACTGCTGCTGCAGAACCGTGGACCTGCAGTCACATTACAAACAAACCGCTTTAAAATAGATTTTCACCACGTTTCCGCTTCACAAAATGAGTGTATACACACTCATTCATACACACATAAACGTCATATTTCATTATCAGATAAGCCTGATCTTTGTCCACTGGAGTACCACACAAGTTGGAGGTTTTTCTTTGAATGATATCATGTTTTTTGAGAACTCATAATAGCTTTAGTGGGATGGACCATATCTTGGTGATCAGTGTGTGTTAGCTGTTCTACGTAGGGACGTCCCGATCCAGCTTTCTGATTGGCCTATCAGAGCATGTACTAAAGTCTAAAGTTATTTATCTACTTACTTAGTTGTCAGACTCATGTCAAACAGGGATTTACTCTGATAACAACTAGCCAGCTGAATTAGGGGAGTCTGAATAATAATAATAATAATAATAGTTTATTCATAAACACAAAATAGGATCAAATAATCCCCCACAACTGACATTTTTACTGATAGCTTCACATCAACATGGCCGTCTTAATGGTTAGGACACAGGCCTGTGGGCTAGGAGATGCTAATGCTAACGCTTAAGGCTGTGCTGGAAAATGACTGGACCGGATAATAGGGAACAACAAAGCAAAGTGGAACGGATTATCGATGGGCTGGAAAACACGGATCTGGAGTCTGGATCTGTGTTTTCTCCTGCCGGCCGATCGGATCCAGATATGGGATCCAGACTTACTTTTTGGGTGACACAGAGTCTTCCAGCATGGTGGACTCTTCATCCCCCTCAAGGCCAAAGTGGTCTTTGCTCTTTTTCTGTAAAAATTGTGGCGACACACATGAATCGGAGCGCATCCGCAGACTGATGTGCACAGAAAGTTTTCTCAGTAGTAGAAACTGTCCCATTGCAGACAGGATTAACTGGTTCTGTTTTACTGCTGACCTTCTTGAGGATGATGTCAATGTAACCTGCAATAAGTTGTGCAATCTGCTCTCCTTCTGTGGTCTGCACAGAGTAGTAACCGTCCTGGTAGTCTCCGAAGTCCTGGTGGAAAATCAGAGAAAACATTTAGTTAAAATACAGCATGAAGAGCTGCTCATCAAAAGGGTTCCCAAGAGTCAAACTGATGCATATCTTCATTAGGCTGGTCCCGATCCAATATCTGGATCGGATCGGCCCCCGATATTTGCAAAAAAATGCGTATCAGATTAAATCCCTGTTCAACAGGAGTCTGACAACTAAGTAAGTAGATAAATAACTTTAGACTTTAGTACAGGCTCTGATAGGCCGGGATCGGATCAGAAAGCTGGATCGGGACATCCCTAATCTTGACCCCTGTTCACAGCAGATCCTCTAATACCACTACAACACTTTTCTATCTAGGTTTTTCCTGGCCAGTGGTCCAGTGTGTTGCTTGTTTTTGGTCTTTGGGTGAAAGTCTCACCAGGGTGAAGCTCTTAGGTGATGCAGCCCAGCGTTTGATGTTGGTCAGGCTCCACTCCTGGATCACCTCCTTGGTCTTCTCATCCACCCTCATCACACACTCCTTGGTGATACCCAGGAGACGGGGCACCAATTTGTTCTTCCCTTTCATTTTCTCCTACAGAGAACGAGAGGAAACAACATCTGTATTGTAAAGAAAACTAGAAGAGCTGTGAGAATGCCAAATTGGAAGAAGCCAAAGAAAAGCCAGAAAAGAAATAGAACTGAAGAACAGAAGATTTTGATGGGATTTGAACCGGCGACTTCTCAAACTGCCGTCAAACGCTCCACCATTGATTCATGGGAAAAATGTGAAGCGGCTGAAATGCCAGTGACCAGCAGAGGGAGCCAGACATTGGACTCATTTTTATTATTTCAATGAGAAAAAATAAAAGCAGGAAAAGTTAAATAACTTAAAAATTTGAAAAGATTTGAACACCAGAAGTCATAGCTGAACGTTTTGATACCTTATTTGTTGAAATAGGTTGAAAATTGTGGGCGTAGTTAGACGCAGAAAAAGAGAAAAAGGAAAACAATAACGACGTTCATGGACAAACTACAGGCTGAGTACGTGTTTGAAACTGTTGGTCAACCTTCAGATAAAAGAACAAACCGCATATAAGATCATTTTCCTCTGGGATTATTTAAGTATGTCACAATAGACGCTTTTAGTTGTTATCTTACACATTCAGTTCATTAGATGTTATCATACATTAGTTTAGGCAACAATTATGCTGTAGAATTTCTAAAAACACAGTTCAGATGCTCAAAAAGGCCAGTCCTCTGCCTTATCTGCTATAACTTTATGGGTATATGTTAGCTTGTTTCATCCATGAGATCTAGACTATCACTTTTTATCAATACTACAAATTCTCTTTTAAATTTAGACTGGCACCTGTTAAAGATTTGAGTGTTTCAAGGAAACGTTTGGCTATTTTCATTCATATATCATTTACTGTAACTGTGCTTTTGAAAACTTCCCTCTTTCTTTCAGATATCAAGGGAAGCTTTGTGTTCTTCTTCCATTTTAGATGAGGTTTGGTTTTGCTTGTATTCCTTTAAATGTCATCCTTAGTGTTAGCATCAGGCCCAATTATGACGGTAAGGTTTGACAAATTTGTTGCTTCTCTGGAGATTACAATATTATTGTTCTTATTAACTCCCTGATCATGCAGAAAAACTTAGACCTCCTGAAATGGGAACTGAAACCTCATCCAATTTTACAAAGCCTTTTTTTAAAAATAGACAGTACTTAAATAGCTTTCAAAAGATGCTGTATCAGTAAGAAAATACACAGAGAAATTGGGTAATGGGTAAAGTTAGACATGCAATTCCTTCCTGTGAAAGTCAACTCCGGTGAAAGGCAACTCTATCTGCTCCCTAACGTGGTAGTTTATGGTCACCTCACCAGGAGAAGCAGCCTGGAGCTGATGGTCCTCTTACCTTCACCAGGAAAAACGACACTCCGTAGGTTTTCAGGGACCGGGCCAGCTTCACGTAGCTGACTTTGGCTTCAATCTCGGTCATGTTCTGGTAGTTTTTATGTGCCTGTGGAGGCCAGAAAAACACAGAATCAGACGACTGCAGAGTGTAAAAGGCAGATATTTGTCTTTTAGAGTGGTGCAACGATACATTTCTAATGCATTTTCCAGCAAGGATTTCAATCCAATATAACTGGATGAACATAACCATCCAAGAACAAAACAGTTCTTCCCCAGAATTGGTTATTTTACCTGGAAGATCCTTTTCTCTCCTTTGTTTTTGATGTACTCTTTGGGAAGGAATTCCTTTAAACTGAAATGGAAAAAGTCGCATTAGTATTTCTCCACTGAAACATTGAAGGAAAACATGAAGTTAGGGCTTACTCCAAGAATCCAGGCTTGTGTTTGGACTCGTTGTGGTCACCGAACTGGATCTGACACTGGTAACCTGCAAACTCACAGGCCTTGTCGAAGGAGACGGGGTGAGACCCGTTCAGGATGTCATCCCGAGCCTGTGCACACCCAAAAACACACAGAGAACAGAACAGCTCACACATCCGTTCAGTTACAGCCATGTTTAAGAAGCTTTCAAAACTCTGCTTTTCCCAGAAGATCTCCCCCATAGCAAACTGACCACCATCTGTACTCATCTTTTACTTCGTCTCTAACCCTATAAAGCCAAATGTGTCATATCTGATCGGGTTTCTCTTGGATGTGAGACTTTCTGCATCATTCAGTGGTAAAAGCTTTGCTCAAACCCCTGTTGTACACATTCAGATATACCTGATAACAGCCAGTAGAAGACCACACCAACATATATTTTTTACTTATTGCACGCTAATTTGATCAAAATCATTTCTGTTTTTTTTCTTCATATGTTGTTCAGGGGCCAAAGAAAGACTTCAGACTAAAAAAATACAATATTCTTCCTATTTTTCTTGGATCAGGCTTTAAAAGGCTACAATGCTCCCGACGGTTCTTAAGCGTTTGCTCTTTTAAAAATACAGTAAAAATGGACAGAAAGTCCAAACTTTATGTTTTACCTGCACGTAGAGCAGGTTGAGCTGGACGGGGTCTCTGGAGTCCACGTTCTGGTCTGAGTAGAAGAACTTCCTCCTGAGCAGTAGCATCTCGGTCTCCTCCACCCCCTGCTCCCTCAGCGTCCGGCCGTGGTCCAGCCAGTTCACTACGGCCAGAGAGTCCCTTTCTGTTTTATTCTTAATTACAGCTCACACATATACAACAAAAACAGCCTTCTTAATGGCTCACACCAAAACGTTTGAAAGGAGTTTTATCATTTTCTGTCACAACTTTCTCACAACAAATTATTTTTAAAAAAATCATGATTTCAATTGTGTTTATTTATCCATTCCCTTATCTATTTAGTAAAAAAGCTGACAGGGATGCAGCTCGGATAGACAAGTAGCGTTGGTTGGATATCAAACTCCTCCCACATCCAAGTCGGCCATTTTGATTAGGTCATGTGACTAGCAGCTTTCTCAGGTGGAAACCAAACTTTACTGTCTATACAAAATCAGAAGATAAAGCATGTCCTAACCCTGACCCTTCATAATTCTGAGAAATAAATATCATAAATTCATAAAAAGGTTTTCACTGTTTTTCATGGGACCAGAATCGTAGGCTTAAATTGACTTAAATACTCAAATTAAAAATACACTCTTAATGTAATAAATTGAACAGTCTCAAAACGATACAAACTCAACAAACAAAAATGATCTAAACTTAGTATAAAAAAACTAAAAGGATCTAAACTTAGTGTATAGATCCAAAAAGGATCTCTACTTAGTCTAGATTTTTTTTGTTAGTTGAGTTTGCATCGTTTAATTTTTTCCATTCAGAGGGGGTTCAGAGATGTTTAGTTGAAGCTGTATTTTCTAATACAGAAGAGGTCATATTTAGAACATTATTTGATTTTATTTCTGTATTTTAAAGGAGGGCTATCATTTAGGTCCTGGTTGTCACAGATTGTGTTTTACTACCAAAGTTCTTTTAGTCCCATTGAGGTCTAATAAAGCCTGTTCATGAACATCTGAGGAGCCTGTCTGGACCCGTCTGGAGGCAGAGTTCCTCCTGTTTGGAAATCAGAAACTCTAGTTTGGCTCTTACGTTCATCATCTGTGTGGAGCTTCTGCTTCAGCTTCTCCATCTTTTTGTCGTCTCTTAGAAGAGTCTTGTCTCTTTTCAGGGTGCCGGTGGTTTCCTCCTTTTTCTCCTCACCGATGTCTCTCACCAGAGAGTATTCATCATAGTTTGTGATGCCTGGAACATAAGCAGACCACAGCTCACATCAGAGCACATACACAAGGGAGGCAAGAAATAAACGTATTCACTTCTAAATCGTACATAGGTATTATTTTACACCAAGTATGCTATGTCGAAGGGGTTTAATAAAGGATAACAAATGTTGGATAATCTTGATAATGCCCTTCTGAAAGGTGGTTTTGAAGAAATTGGAGGATTGGTTTAGTCAACCTCTACCAGAGTCAATTTAGCCTTTTAGGAGTCATTGATGCCAGAGGGCTTTCCAAAAGCTGAGGGCAGTTTTATAGTAGCAGCCAGAATGATTTGTTGTAAATGGAAGAGCCCACATAGACCAGAAATCAAGGACTGGCTCTAACCTATGTCAGAGACAGCTGCTTATGAGGTCATGATTAGTAAGGCTAGCCAAGCACGGGAGTATTTTGATTAAAGTGTTGGTAAAAACTCTTAAGGGATTTGGGGCATGATGTATACTGCGAGTATGAATATTTGCATTGATATATCTGTGAATAGATCATGGAGAATTGTTATTATCATAAAAGCAAAAAAAAAAAAAAATTAATGACAAAACATCAGAGAATATATGACGAAAATGGAGGGGCGGGAAACGGATGCTAGGCTAAGCTAACGTGGACTAACTGAATGCTGGGCTGTGCGAACGGCAGACTAACTGAATGCCAGGCTAAGCTAACGGTGGCCTAACTGAATGCTAGGCTAAGATAACGGCAGACTAACTGAATGCTAGGCCAAGCTAACGGTAGACTAACTGAATGGTAGGCTAAGCTAACGGCAGACTAACTGAATGCCAGGCTAAGCTAACGGTGGCCTAACTGAATGCTAGGCTAAGATAACGGCAGACTAACTGAATGCTAGGCCAAGCTAACGGTAGACTAACTGAATGGTAGGCTAAGCTAACGGCGGACTAACTGAATGCTAGGCTAAGCTAACGGCAGACTAACTGAATGCTAGGCTAAGCTAACGGTGGCCTAACTGAATGCTAGGCTAAGATAACGGTGGCCTAACTGAATGCTAGGCTAAGCTAAGGGTGGACTAACTGAATGCTGGGCTGAGCTAACGGTAGACTAACTGAATGCTAGGCTAAGCTAATGGCGGACTAACTGAATGCTATGCTAAGCTAACGGTGGACTAACTGAATGCT